CCCGCAGGTGGTGCATAGGAGAATTGAAGAGTTTCTGATAATTCTGGTCTATCAGATGCGTTTCGGCTTCTTGCCTTCTTCAGTGGAGGGTTAGGGGTATGAATAGATAGATGCACAAACACTAGCCTCTCATGTACCACTTAATATGACATAAAACGCTTGACATCCTAAAATGCAAGGAAATGACCCAAATTTGGTATTGTTTACAGTCTCTACAAATTGCTAATGTAGCTGTAATCTCGTTTAAGCCGGAAGTTCATGTGCACGCATATTTTAGGAGGGGAAAGAGATATAAACTTGTACAATTAACGATCTTAATTTTTTTAAGTCTCTCGCTACATAAAATACGTTTATAACGTTGTTCGTCTGCCTTCCGAATCCTGTTCTGGGGCATTTGATTTCGGTCGTCCGCGTGTCAGGAAAGCACAATCACGGTTGGATTACGCAACGGGTCTTCGGCGAAGTCCAGTACGGATTCTTAGCCGGTTTGGGGAAGAGCCAAACATCCCGTGGGTCGTTTATATTCCATCGACATCCGACTTCCGCACTTCCTGGCTCGCCTCACGGCTCAATTAAGTAACCTTGCTCTGCACATTGCCCTTAGTGTATTGTTTATAACAAAATCCAAGACAAAACTAGGGAAAAAGCTAAAAAAGAATAAAACTGTCCTAGTATTAAGTCACACTGCGTAAATTAGGTAAAACAATAGGTAAAATTTAGAGATGGAACTGTTATAAGTAAGTAATAAAGAAATTCGTAAGATTTAATCTTGAAGTCTTGTGTGGTGATGCTTCACCCTGCTTGTTTCCCAGACCAAAACAACATAGGCAGACCAAAAAATAAATCCGACATGACCCAAGCTGTAAAGCATTTTGTTGTGTAACAACTATGGACCGTGATGTGAATTCAGTAGTGGATGAGTGTTAATAACCCTGTTAATAACCCTGACCCACCGCTGAAGATGGCAAACAGTGAGTACATGTAGACCAAAAATGATTGGAAACTACAGATTGACCGTGCTGTGATACTTTTTTGGTGGCGATTTTTACAAGGTATTGCACATTGAAGGGCAGACTAAAAATGACCGGAAAAAGGCAAAACTATAAGATTGTTGAGTTACACCTAGGGAACGTGTTACTACAGTGGTGGTGGGTTAGTGTTAGTATCTCACATTGCTGATATCCAGAAGATGACAAATAGCGAATAGAGGCAGACCAACATGACGTGAGTCGACTGATGAACATGATTCCTGACGATGGCGAACAGACGGGTAAGGCTAGACAGACTACAATTTACGAAACGACCAAGCTATAACATAGTTTGTTGAGTAACACCTATTGACCGTGCTTGGACAATTTTCAGTGGTGGGATACTTTTAGTGTATCATCCTTCTTATATCCCTAACCCCACCAGTGAATCCTCGCTGTTTTGGTCTATCAGACGCATTTTGGTTTCATTCGTGAGTTTGTGTTGGTGAATCTGCCGAAAAGCCAGTATAGGCAGACTAAAAATGAACGGAATCGACTAATAACCTTTTTTGTCTTACTGTGGATCGTTTTGCGGGGTTTTAGTGCCTCCTGCTTATAACCCAGATCCACCGCTGAAGTTGGCGAGAAGTAGAAATGAATTAAAATTTGGAAACGACCAAGCCGTTGCATACTTTATTTAATTTAAACTTATAAACGCTGTTGCGACAGTAATCAGTGGTGTGTGAGAGTTGGTGCCTCACCCTTCCTTTATCCATGAATGACCAATGCAGTTGGTGAATGGCAAAAATTAATTTATTTCTAATACAAGTACTTGTAAAGGGGCTTAAATCTCTATTTGTTCCTTTAAAATAAATAAATACAAATAATAAATATCGGAAATGATCAAGCTATTGCATACTATAATTGATTCTATACCATGGACCCTGCTGCCTGATAGTCAATATTGGGGCATCATCCGCTCACTCCTAATCCACCATTGAAGCTGGCGGACATTAAGTATAAACTGGCAGTTAAGGTTCGAAAACGACCAGGCTATTGCATGCAATAATTAATGTTACACCGGAGTACCCTGCCGCGACCGTATTGTCAGTATTGATGCCTCACCCTGCTTATAATCCTGATCCGCCTATGAAGTTGGCGAACAGCAAGTATAAACGGGTAGATAACGATCGGAAATGACCTTGCTTCATAGTACATACTATAATTGTCCTTAAGACCGTAATCAGTGGTGTGTCATTGTTGGCGCCACGCCCTGCAGAGATAGACGGACCAAAAGTACAGGAAACAACCTACAAACGGAAAGATTTGTGGTTGCAGACGTGTAGTTTTTTTATTAACTTAGAAGTTTGTTTTTAGTGGAGTAATTTGGGACAATTTGATAGGGAATTAATGGCCCGCAGTAATTAAAAACCCAAAAGGTTTTCTCGTGTCGAAACTGAAGTGGTTCGATGGAATTGCATTGATGGACAATAGTTTCAATCCCCGCGATGTTGAAATAATTGGGACGCGGAAATTGGCCAGGTTTGGAACAAAAGCACCATTAGGACCAACTTATCGAGCACTAAGCCCCAATGATGCAATCCGTCGTAATGAAAGATCGCTTAGAATTGCGCAAAGCGGAGGGAAATGATGTAACCGGCGAAAAAAGTTATAAATCCTCATAGAGGAGATCTCACGGTGCCTGTCTGCCGCAGGCAGAAAAATTGTGTCGAGGGTTCACCCCAGGAAGGATCTTCCATAACAAAGAGTGTTGAAGAAAAGTCCAGATACTGCACTATTGTGCTATTACAATGGGACCGTTACCTCAGTGGAAAAACGGCGGAAAATAGTAGACGAAAGGGAAAATCAATTTACTTAATTTTTAAATTGTGTATATCTTCTTAATTTCTTTCCTGTTAAACTTGTCTATTAAAATAGTCTTAGTTTAGTTGTATCAATTTTTGTCATATCGTTTAAAGTGGTGGTTTTTCTCCTTCATTTTGTCAATGGTGACCTTTATTAGACTTCTTTCGACAAGATCATTCAACTTTATTAGTAAACTGGGGAATATTTAGCGTGTTGTTAGGAGGGAGTTGAATTGAGTGAGTCGCCTTTCACCGATCGACGTGATGGATAGTCCATCCGAAAACAAAGAGGGGTCCGAGGGTCACCCGGGCAGGTCCGGTCTCCTGGCGACTCCCAGGGGAAGTCCTGATGTAACACATTACGTGTTATGTAAATGCGGTCAGCGAGGAATTCGGGAAGATGTGCTATCTCCAGGAATTGGAGTGAAAGTCCCTCACCCCGTGTTAACACCTGTTTGCCTCGACGCTGGATCCTCATCACGACCGTGCTCGCGTACCTTGCCGCGGCACCTGTTTTAATTAAACGCCGCAATCCCGAGGTAAATATGGAATTTAAATCGTACACGGGCTATTACATTTATATAATAGCATTTCGCAAACTATATTCATGTCGTGTTACCGTTTTGACTTTCACTGCGTTTTCTTTTGGGGGTGATCGATATTGGCCTTAAGTTTTCATTGAGGCGTTTGGGCGTGACCGATGCGGCTTTCAACCGGTCCTGGATGGAAGTGGGTGAAATTTTTCTAATTTTCTTTAATGGGCTGGACGATTATCCAGGATGACAGTCGTAAACATCTCGTCCGAAGGTACTGTACGGAGGTACGTAATGAATGTCGTTTAAACCTGTCCAGGTGACGTTACGAAACCATCTGACATGTACGATTAAATATTTCAAGTCCCTGTACGTTTATACTTTTTTTAAGTTTTATTTTTTAAGCGCATAATACAAGAAAAGACAGGTGGTTAAAGTCTGCAAATGCGATTGTCATGAGAAATATATAAATCTTGCGGCAATATACCTGGACTATCAGAACAGAAGTGGATGAAAAAAAAACAACTGGGTCAATTAGTAAAATTCCTCTGAAGTGCAGAACAAGGAATACAGTAGCAGCCCTGAAACAGCACAGGACGACATAACCCGACTTTTATCAATCAATCATCACAAGGCATCGAAAAATCACTTGACATGACTTGAAAAGAAAAAAATTCAGAGGAAACTCAGAATCTTTACAAAATTTCGAAGATGCACTGCAAACTCAATAGGCGTCTAATGGTACATAGAAATTCTACCGAGAAAAGGCGGCTGGATCCCAACATTTTTGTTGACATCCTGAGTCCGTACACTTTGGAGAAGAAATAATTTGGGGATTTAAAAAGAACTCTTGTAACTAGGTAACAGTCAAATTCCTCTCAAGTACAGAGAAACGGGATACAATATCTCTTAAATTATGAGTTGCTAGAGAAATTGATCAGTTTAATTTGAATGTGTCAGTCCAGGGGATTTCAGGTCACTACAGACCTTAGGCAAGAAGATCCGATGTCTCCGGCCTTATTTAATTTTCCAAAGCATTCCTCTTTTTGTTTTTTTACATCACACAAATAAATTGTACTATGTACTTTTTCGATTAGTTATAAAGTGGTGACTTGATACCACATGGTATCACTAACCTCCAACTACTCCGATGACATTGGGTGACTACACTGTGATTGTGAACACTTCCAAACTTCTTTAATATTGTCAATGTTTATACTGTAAGCAATTTATACTGTAAGAAAAGAAGACTGATAAATTTGTTTCTGAACGATTCTGAAAGGAGCTAGAAGCAAAGCAGACATGTTGCCTCCAAAATAATGAAATTGCCCCTAAGTATGCCAGGTGAAGTATCTGTAGTTTTGGTCTTTCCCGATCAGTTTGGTCACCCAGAAGCGGTTTGGCTTGTTACGTTTTGTTGGGTCGGGTAATAAGAGAACCTACCATCGCATAAAACGGCGAAAAGCGTCTGACAGACCAAAACAACAAGCCACGACAAAGGGACAATTTAATTATTGCTATTCTTTTTCTGATTTCAGTTAATTTTTTCGATAGTTTGTTTTGGGTTTCCCCTTTTAAGTCCTTTTAGGGTCCTTTTTTTCCTGTGTGACTGATCCGATCACCTTTGATTCCAGGTACTTCGTGAGCACTGTGCTCCAGTTCCAGATCTTCCGGGGACTGTGCAGAGCGGCCGTTAAGCAGGCTCACTTGAACCCCTCGGATCCGCTGTACAAATGCGACGTCTACAGGAGTTCCGCCGCCGGAAACGTCCTTGCGTAAGTTTTTCCACGCTTCGTCAAAACTATCCAGCATATTTACCCAACCGAGCATGTAAGGCAGTAATTACAACGTTTATTCGAGACTTGAACGTGTAAACATGGTAAAATCTGACTTTTCATAATCACATGAAACAAATTTGATGAATAATCACAGTCTTTTGGACACACCGCGTATTTTCTATATTTATAAGGACCAAAGGAAAGCATCGTGACTAACAAGTCTTCATCATCATCACCATCATCAACGGCACTACAGCCAATTACATGAAAAACAAGTGAACCGGATGGAGACAATGCCGATACCAGCTAACCTTTTTTAACGTACGCCACTAATTTGTTTCTTCTTCTCCTGGAATTCAATATTGTCTTCATTGTATAAGGCGATTAACAAGTCATCATCATCATCGGCACTACAGCCTATTCATAAAAAAAGTGGACAAGTCAAATCCATCGTGAAACCGTCTGGTGTTTGTTAGCTTTACACACAGATTTGCTTTCTTCTTCTCCAGTCAAAGAGTCCATTCAATATTCTTTTATGTTCGTAAGAAGGAGTGGCAAATTGTCATCATCATCATGACACCTATTACATGCTTAATAAGTGTAACAGATAGAAGCAAACCGAGACCGTTTGATTTTGTTAAAATCAGATCCTCTTAGATTATAAAAACGACAAATAAGCCATTATCATCATGATGCTACTACAGTCTACTAAATGACCATTAAGTGAAGCAGATAGAAACAACCTAAACCATTGTCATCACGATGCTACTACAGTCTACTACATGACCATTAAGTCGAACAGATAGAAACATTCTTGATACGGTCTGATTTTGTTAACGTCGTACACTCTTCGATTTATAATGACAACTAATAAGCCATCATTATCATCATGACGCTACAACTTAAATAAGTGGAACAGAAAACAAGCCTGAGTCCATTTGATTTTTCTTACCTAACACCAGACACTCTTTATCTATAAATACGACTAAAAAACTATCATCATCATCTTTATGATGCTACAGTCCACTACAGGACCAATAAGTAGAACAGATACAAAAGATTCTGAGACAGTCTGACCTTTGTAATTGTCAGACCGACAAACAAGTGTTAGTTCGACGAGCACCTCAGGTCTTTATACACCAAATTCAAAATGTCCCTACAAGAAAAAAACAGTACTTTATTATTTGCATTTACAAAGACAAAAATTAAACGCCACGACTGCCTTGCCATCGTCATTGTAAAAAGCTTGTTCAACATGTGAACAAGTCGATCAAAAGTCCTGAATCGTCTACGTTCTTCAACGTCAGTCTAATTTACCCAGTTGAGACAGTACATAAAATCTTTGTTGTTTTTGTAGTAATCTGATGTCGAAGGGCTCTTCCCAGCCTTGGCAGGAAGTCCTGCAGGAGAGCATCGGCGAGTCGCGCCTCGACGGTGGTGCTCTTCGCGACTTTTTCGCCCCGTTGGAAGAATGGCTGCGCAACGAGAACCTCAGGACTGGTGAGACTGTCGGCTGGCTTTACGGTGAGTTTTAAACAATCCTTTTACTATTTTATAATTAATTGATTACTGAGTTGTTGTTTTTTTGTTCCAGACGGAGACTATTGCAAGCACAGCATCGAGACGGCGAACCTCCAGGTGCTCGGCGGTTTTTACAATTCTGCCCCTAAAAACGAAGTGTTCGGCCTAGCAATTTTCCTCTTCTTAATTGTTCAATTTATGTCCTGATGATAAAGATTAACTATACTCCATCCATCTGTATTGATCCGTTTTGTAAATTAAATTATAAACCTTTTGTAACAGAAATTTTATCCTATTCTGTACTTGGGTGATGTCCCATTGTCAAATAAACAATATCAAAAAATTATTTATTACAGTTTTAAGCTCTGAATTACAGCTTTAACGATAATGCTATAGGAATTTCGTGTTTTCCGAAACGTGTTTCGGATCTTCAGTGGGTCTGGGAAATAAGCAGGCGAGGCGTCAACACTAACCCACCACTGAAGATGGCGAAAAGTGTCTGACTTATCAAACTGTCTATGATAAACTTGTCGTTCTGTCTGATGCTTGCTGATTTATGCTGGAATGATGTTTCCAAATTTTATGCTATGTATTAATTTTCTTTTTTAAATCTATGACATTTAACGTTACCATTATTTGGTTTAATCGTGTTTTGTGTTTCTAATCTTGTCAAACATTGTAAATAAATGTGTGAAAGTTATGATTATTTCTAAGCCGGCCAAACTTAAAAAATGCACATACCATGCATAAAATGAAAATTTATATATCATAGAGTGTTAATACGGATTTATGCTTAATATATAAAATATTTGTAATTTTATTGTATTTTTGTACATATTTGTGATTTATAATAAACAAGCTTAAAACTGGGAGAAATCATTACTTTTACTATAAGACAGTTGAGTAATATTCATCAACCCTCCCAGGACCTAAGACTAAGTATGTCTTAATTGATCAAGAACGAAACTTTGCGGTTTCGAAGGCCATAAAACCATAAAATGTATGAGATAGAAATGGAGCTTAGTTCTATATGCCTAGGTAATCAGTTCTTCCAAAGACTATCTTATATTAAGACTCCAAGTTAAAATTGATTGATGGTTGTTGGTCTGCAAATTGTTGAACACAGAAATGGGTCATTTAATGGGTTCGTGAGAGAATAGTTGATGGCCCAAAGCAGAAAAACGTTGAATAACATCTGAGTGTGCTTTGGGCCATCGTCCCATTCAAAGACCAAACTGATGTTCAGACTCTACTAGACTATTGTAAAAGATGACAAGACGTTAGACCATTGTTGCACTAACTGGTAAAGGAATGGAGGCTGAATTCTCGAGAGCTACATTCAATAAAGTTGAGACAGATGACACCACGATATTAGACCATAGTTGTACTAACTGGTGAAGAAATGGAACTGAGTGATATGTGCTTGGGTCATCAGCCCTTTCATAGACCTAAGTGATACTCTGACTCCAATAACGTTATTGCGAATGATGAAACCATAACCTTAGTTACACATACTGGAATGAATTGAGCTGAGTTGTATATGCTTAGTTCCATCAACCCTTCCAAAGTCCAAACCGATGTTCCGGCTTCATGAAGTTTATTGAGAACGTTGACAGCACAACCTTCGACCTTAGTTGTATCAACTGTTGTAAAAATAGAACTGAGGTCATTTACAACGCGAATTATAAAAGAATGGAATCGTACTCATGACATCATGATCAAAAGCCAAAGAAATCTGACTCGCCTTGATTTAGAGAACCCCACTGTAAATTCAGCAACACGTCTTCTTGTATCCACGATAAAGAATGCCATATAATCTGAAAGTACTTGACATAGTTCTTACTGTATACAGTAGAGACATCTTAGGTTGTCTTAGTACAGATATGTTGCTGAATATATTTTATATTATACAGTAGCCAATTCTTACTTAAACCTCGGAACAGGAGAACCAGAAATTCGATGCCGTTCTCACTCATTATCGAGTGGCACACCTACAGGCTCCCTATATAGACCTAAGGAATTACAACATTAAATTACGGGGTATAATTAAGCAACTGATACGTTCGGAGCTGTACCTTTTATCTTCACACACTGGTAACCCGAAAACATCTGAATGATACAAGAAAATGTTACAACTTTCAACCACCCATCAATCAAGGAAAAGAATATCTTCTATCATCGCCTAACAGGGAATTATTTCTATCGGAAAGGTAAAAACTATACTCATAGCCACTTTCGGCTTATGAGCTGTTTAAATTATGAAAATGGAGTCCGTGGTTTCGTGCACAAGAAGTCATTTATTAACATAAACCCCCAATTAAGCTTCATGTCACAAGGCTCTTTTAATATTGACGTAATTGCTACTTGGTACTCGATTCTAGACGTGCAGAAATTATAATTACTGCGACTAAGCTTGCCAGTCGATTGGTTTCGAACGGGCGATTACTAATGGCAAGTATTCAGGACAAAATTTATGAGAAAAAAGTGTAAGTTGGCCTTAACAGGCATTATAAGAAAAGGAGATTTATAAGTTTAAGCTAAACTAGTCTCAGAAACTGAATTTTTTTAAATATTTTCCTCAGATCGGATAAGTGGGTTAATACCCACTACGTTCAGGAGGTATGTCGACATTTTCTATTCGGCTACACAATCTACAAGAAAAAATTCAAGCAAACTATCCCGATTGGATGTTACTGTTTGGTTTACAACATCTCGATAGCCGGCTTGATATCACTGCTTCTGACTCACACATTAGACGGCCAACAACTTTTCGACACGATCCACTATATGTTGTATATGATAGTACTCGACGCTTACGTCTACACGATCTTCAAATATAGGTAATCCGTCCGCAATATCGAGTACCTTTCCGAAAGAATAACGATTTCTTTTATCAGGCGGAAGATGCTGGAACTGAACGCCAAACTGGATGAATGGTTCCACTACAAAGAACTAGAACAGGAGGCGTTGATTATCAGAGAAAAAGTCGAGGCCAAAGCCAGCAGGAACGTGAACATCTACGTGGGTATCATGCTGTCGTGCAACTTTCTGTTCTGCGTGATGCCTATGATGAAACTGTCGTTCGCTTCAGACAGGTACTGGTGGCCGGGTTGAAAATTCGGACTTGAATAACGTTCCGTTTCGTAGGTCGGACATGCTCAATTTCTTGATATATCCGTGTTATCTTGGCTTTCCTCTCGACACCTGGTGGGGTTTCGCTTTGACCTACGCTTTCGAAATAGTGTGCAGCACGGCCACTTTCAGTTTGTACGCCCGGCTCACCTCGTACGGATTTGTCACTTCAATGCACGTCAATTACCAGCTGAAACTCCTGAGAGTCGCACTGCAGACCTTGGAGATCAGGTCGGTGAGCATCATGGAACGTCTGGGATTTTCCATGCAATCGCCTCTTTGGAAAAAGCGTTACGAGAGGACTTTAGAAGAAGAAATCAACACAATAGCCATACACTTACAATACCTACATGGGTAACTTGTGCTGCGATCCTTTAAGCGATTAGCTTAATCTATGAATAATAATAAAAATAATTGTAATAAAATCTACTAATTGTAATCAATTTCAGTCTTTCCGATTACATCGTACAGATACTAACTCCGGCTACTACTTCAACCTACACTGGAGGCATGTGGATAGTGTGCTTTTCCGGACTGGTCATGTACACGGTACTATATTTTAACTTCGTCAATAAGTAATGAGATTGACCATCGATGAAGACTTCAGGGGTCATACACTCTCCCTTTAAGAGCTGTTGTAGTCCCAGTACTTACATCACATCGTACAGGGCCAATTTTTAAAGGAATTTGATTATTTGACCTGGTAGCACAAGTCGTATTTCTTTTAAGCTTAGATACTTTTCAGCTTTAATTAACTATTATGAAGGCGATAGTGAATATTTCAGGGATTATTTCATACTGCGGCATTAAAGATCCCCCCCCTATCTGTACTTGCGGTGCACCACAAGTGGGGTGTGGTTAAGTCTCAATTCGTCTCGGAATTTGATTATTTGACTCGGTCCCAAAACACATTTTCTAGTGGAATAATAACCAAGATAGTCAGGCGCAAGTTCTGAGGTTTCCTCTGCATCCTCAGAATTCACACCGTGTTGGCTGATGCCGATCTTTCTCAGATATCCGGGTCTGTAGTGCTCCTTCAATTTGTTTAGATTCAACCTGCTTCCACTATTGTGGACTTTTCAAATTTCACACGGTGATGCTTGGATGTAGTGAGATATTATCATTGTTTCATAACTCTCATCTTATCGTCTATTCTAACAAATTCTCTGATAGTATCGTTCAGAACGTTTCGTGTTATGTCAGCATCTTCATTTCCCTAAACTGCTGCATGTCCTGAGACCTAGAAGGTGACCTCTGTTCTGCATGTCTTATATTTTATTTAGTTTTGCAATTCTGAACCAAAAATGGTTTAAAAAAATGCAAAATTTCATTTTCCAGGCAGAGAATGAATCGATGCTCATTGGGAAGTTCTTCGTGATTTTCTCCGCCGAGCTCATGAACGTGTATACGTTCAGCTTGACCAGCGAATATCTCATCACGTCTGTACGTAGTTTTACACACAAGGAAAAAATTCGATAAATATATCCGTATATGGATTGTTTCAGTTCGAAGAAACCATCAATTCTATTTACTTCTGCCCGTGGTACAATTTGCCCAAAACCTGCACCAAAACTTTGCTCAACATGATGACTCTGTTGATGAAAGTTCCGAGTTTGAGGACCATCGTCGGATACAAAGCCAACATAGTAAACATGGGAGCTGTAAGCTTTACTCGAAATGATAAGAAAACTGATGACATCATTAAAACGGATTCTTTTTACAGATTTTGAACGCCTCCTACACATATTTCAGCTTAATTATCGCTACGAAATCTTAATAGGTTGACAGTTGGAAAATGCTAGGCACACTAGTCGCAAAATGTATAGAAATAAACACCTCACGAGTTATTGTTTTTTAATATTTATTCCCTGTCTAATCGGATTGTCAGATAGACTAATATATATATATATATATATATATAGACTAGAATATTCGTGAGGTCTACGGGGTGATGGAGATTTAACTGTCATTTTTGGATAGCCTAAACGCGTTGGTTTTATATATGACAAGCACGATTTGGCTTTTCGCCATAATCAGTAGTCAGTTTAATAATGGTGCAAAAGTAATCTGTTCTAAATTGGGGTCATGGTACTAGGCAGGACAAAAATTGAAGACGGTGAAAAGACAAAACGCGTGTGACAGAACAGCGAGGAGAGGAAAACCAAAAATGATCGAAATCTAACAACCAATGGCATAATTGTGTGCGAAGCTACGATCTGAGAGCACTCGGACTGTTGGCCGATGACCTTGAAGGACTGTACTTCTCTAGGACCGTCAAGTAATGGTGAAGTGTGTTTACTACTTGACCTAATTCTCTATTTGGAAAAATTGAATCAGCAATTACCTTTTAACTTCTGTCAGTAAATCCATAATCCAACTAGGGAAGATGACATCTAACCATTCCATACTCAGTATCGCTTGGAAAGGCAATTTCTTTCGGGTAAAGGGCAAGGACCTAGAATTGAAACCATGACGATTTAAGTCTGTGAAATAAATAACGCCAACAACCTCAATAACACCTTGCAGAAAATTAATAACCCAGAAATGGTGATTCAAGAAAATTCTTTAAATACTTCTAATATATTTCCTAAGCACACATGGGATTCCATCCCTTTTTCCGCGTGTTTGCTCTCTAAACGTAATAGTTATTCAATAAAAGAAGGAAACGGCTGATTTTTCCAAATACCGGTACCACGAAAAAAGAATCTTTGGATTTTTATTTCCTCCTTTGAATTGTCAGAGGTGACCTATTACCTATTGCCACGACTTGTCTGGGAATAGATTTTATCAGTTTTCTAATTGAATAATTAATTGAAATTATAGGCATAACTTTACAATAAAATTTTGGTATATGACAATATTATGAGCAGCAGTACGTTTATGCACGTTCTGGCAAAAAGAGGAAAGATACGTGTAACTGCATGGGAAAGCAAGATCCAGTAAACATTTCTGAGCCTCGACAAAGACTAATAAAAAATCTGAAGCCTAGATAGCGGTCAAGAGTACATCTTCCAAGCTGAGGTTCATGCAATCCAACTCTGTGCGCAAGAGGGATAAGTAAGAAAATGAAAGATGAATGGATCTAGATTTTCCGACAGCCAGGCGACTATAAATGGTGGGTTTTAGCTCCGAATAGTCTAATAATGCTTAAATGTCCAAATGGCCCTAGGAAAACACCTTGTGGTAGGTTCAAGGGCAAGAAGATGTAACAGGAAATTGCTGACCAAGTAGCCAAATAACCGCAATAAAATAATAAATAACAAAAGCCGGAACCACAACAAGGTTTACTGAAGTTGGAGCTGGAAAAATGCTTCAGAGAGAAAAAATCAAGTACTGGACAAAAGCACCAAATCTGAGGCAAGCTAAGAAATTTATAAATTCCCCAAAAAGCTAAGATACGATTTACATTCAGCAGGCAATATTGATGTCAGTAATAGGCCTCTATACCTCTATACCTCTTGCCCTCTTAAGTACCACCTAAAGGAGAAGGGCAAAGCAGAGACAGAAGCACCCCGATTTTGTCTATATGTTCCAGAGACATCGACACATACACTATGTGGATGTGAAGCACTAGTCCGGATAGGTAGCCACTTGGGTAAGGCAATTTCACACTATGAGAAATGCGCGAAGTGGCACCGAAGAAAGTGCTAAGTTTTGTAGGAAAAAACTACCATAATCATAGTGGTTCCACAATAGCCCTATGTAGGTCGCAGAGAAGGAACGAATCATAAAGGGTCAATAGTCTACATACTTGACGAAACCCGCAGAAACAAATCTACAATCCTGGTCGTGCCCTGGTCTATCTTAAGGACAGAGTTAACAGCAGTCAGCTCTTTTCAATCAAACGCACCGCGACGAATATTGGTCTATTTTGTAATCTTCATTACTATCTAGAGCTCGTTGTTAATCTTAACGCTTTTTACGAGATCGTAAAGCTTTGTCAAGGACTTCTGTGTGTAACCTTCAGGCACGGGCTTTTCCTCTCCAAGTAATAAAAATTCTCAGGCAAAATATTCACAGGCTGCTGCGAGTCTATGCCTTCTGAACCTGCAGTGTCCAATCAGACATAGGTAGTTCTGCTGTTAGTTTCAGCGATGGTTTTCTGTTCTGGAAAACATTCCCATTAAGGACTTAATCATCGTCTGATAGATCTAGTTTTTGGCAATTTGGTATGCCGAAAAAGGGTTCAGGGCTAATTGAACTTGGACAATTTGGTTGCCTCCTCGATGCCCCTCTACCCTGTGCGCCCTGGTACTCAAACAAGGGTAATTTTGTTGCTGTCCGCAACGTGTGACAGAGCCTTGATGCAGCTCCAAACGGCAGGTAGTTTCTTTTAGTGCCGCCTATCTGTCAGAGTAGATGGCTTTTGTTGGTAATACAACTTTTTGATCTTCTTGACACAATATTCATTAGCCACCTGAAAGACGGCCGTGTATTGCCCACTTATATGAAATATAGTCCTTGTATTATTTCCGTAGATATTAGATCCTGACCCATACTCGGTCTTAGAGGCAGTATGCTAGATAGTGAACCTTAACCGGAGATTTTCTCCTAGTCCGCTCGGGTATTTTAATTTGAGTTTTGGGGTCATGGCGTCAACAGACATTTCTAGAACTTTTTCTGCCCGAACTTCCACCCGAAGCTATAACTGCCCCTTTTTATGCGAGTACTCTATTAGTGCATGTTTCTGCATTTAGACTCTCCCTGGTTGAAGAAATGTAGTCCAGGCCCGCTCAGAGACTTCTGAATAGGACAGAGGATCCTGATAAACCTTGGTTGTACTATCTTTGTCCATCAAAACACCGAACCATATGCTCTAGTGGGTCTAATAACCGCTGCATTAACCATAGGGACATCGTTCGTCTTAAATCCAGGATTTGCCCACAAAGGAGTTCATATTTGCCATTTTCGCTCTCTGTGTGATTTTATTTATTTGCTGATTCTCTGTATGATTTCCAAGAAAGTCTTTGGTCAGTGATGTCGCCTAGATGTTTTATTTCTTACTCGTTTATCTTACTACACGGAGAGGGAAAAAAACGTCCATAAAACCGCCAGTATGTTGATAGGGAACACCCTTCGGGCAGTTGTTCTGGGAATGTTAAGCACCCTGGCCACATCCTTTGATTTCTTCCATCTTCCGATATAGCCTATGATTCTAGCCGAATTCTGGATCACTTAAAAACCATCACTCAAACAAATTTAAAACTTAAAAATGTACAACTTAAAAAATCAAACAACAGGAACGTTAGAAAGAAGCTTTACGGAATAACCAAGAAAGAAGATAGCTATTCAAAGATTTATTTACAAAATCTAATTGTAACACAAATGGTAGATTTATTGTGTTTTATTTATCTCTAATCCTTTAAAACAGACCAAATATTGTTGCAAATTAATCAATGGAGGATTGTCAAAGAGATAATTAAAAATATTAAGGCCGGTTTTTTGGCCTCTCAATGTCGAATGTGACGGCGCCTCACCCTGCTTATACCCGGCCCACTGCTGAAGACGGAATAAAAATCGCAGATCCTTATGGCCTGTTTTTAGATGTCTTATAATCTCGAGGAAGTCCGTTTTTTTTATCAAATTTAATATAGTTTATGCCTATTTTGGTGTGTAAAACCAATCTATGTATTGTACAGGAGATCAGTGTGAAGCTCCAACATAAACCCACCATCGATTGGCGATTGGCGGAATCGCGTCCGACAGGCAAAAACAGCGAGGATAGGCGGACCAAAAACGATCGAAACGACCAAAACTACATATTTTATAATGACTGAAATTGTACTTACCTGTATTTTATGTATTTGAAGAGGTCGTAGTGCAGTCGATTAGTCGAAGAGCACAGATCGGATTATTTTACCGGTTTACCCGCGCTGATTTTCAGGAGGTTAAAAAGGGTTATAACTCTACGAGGTCAGGGTTTATGTTTTTGTACAATCGAATGTCTATATTTTGATAATTATCTCTCCAAGTAATTTTATTATTGAGAAAAAATGACAGTTACCGGCGAGGACAAAGTGAATCTTCCATGGTAAGTTCCGGTGACTTTAAAATTGATCTTTTTTTAAAGGTTTCTCAATGTTTTTTCAGGGTGGAAAAATACAGGCCTAGTACATTGGATGAACTTATTTCCCACGATGAGATCATAAAAACAAGTAAGTACTCGGTACTTATCAGTCGTGTTAAAATGTACTTAATGCGAATTGTGTCCAGTCAACAGATTCATAGACGAAAACCAGCTGCCGCATCTGCTGCTCTATGGGCCCCCAGGTACCGGCAAGACAAGTACCATTTTGGCCTGCGCTAAAAAATTGTACACAAAAACCCAATTCAGTTCGATGGTCTGTCATTTTCAGTTATTCTAAATAACTCTTGTCATTAGTTTCTTATACTGGTAGGTGATGGAACTGAACGCCTCGGACGACAGAGGTATTGGAATAGTAAGGGGTCAGATATTGAATTTTGCAAGTACGAGGACAATATTCAAATCCGGTTATAAGCTGATTATCCTCGATGAGGCCGATGCAATGACAAACGATGCCCAGAACGCTCTACGTAGAAGTAAGTTTTGTTATCAATAATAAATATACTTAATTATTTAATTAATTATTTGATTAATTTACAGTTATTGAAAAGTTCACGGAAAATGTCAGGTTCTGTTTAATTTGCAACTACCTCGGCAAAATCATACCTGCTCTCCAGTCGAGGTGCACACGGTTCAGATTCGGACCTCTTGACACCCAACAGATCATTCCAAGGCTTGGATTTGTTATCGAGCAAGAAAAGTAAGTTTATTTATGGGCTCTTGCACAACTTCGTGACGCTCTGACTTGCTTCTCAAAAATAAAAGGCTTCTTTACAACACCATAATTTATCGTATATAGACTTACTGATTGGAAGTGTGGGGTTCATTCGAATGTTCCAACATTTCCATCCAAACTGCCCAATCTTTAATCTAAAATCTTAAATATTCCATTCGTTCATGATCAGCTCCAATTATTGAAAATTTTACAAAACTCTCCCAACTCCTTTAAATCATCCAAATTCTCGCATTCCTATGAACTCGCTTGAACTCTCCTCGCCGACTAAAGAGACAATGGTGGGACCTCCTATGAAGTGATAGTGAAAGTGATATTGACACAAGCATTAAACAGAAATTTTAGCATAATTGGAGTACCACCAATGAAGGAACCGTATCAGGTGTTCATTATACAAATCCAAACATGAGCAATAAAACTCATTAGGGAAGTAAACCTCAGTCTTTCACGCCATCAACGCTTGTGACTTAGAAAATCTTAAAAAGGGTTTACACTGTCAAACCAATCCTTATAAGATCAGATAGCCGTGCAGCTATTACCACTTAAATTAATAACATCAAAATTAGTCAGTGAATGCATCCAAAATCTTGGGAAACACAACCTGATGATATCTTAGATCCCAGCACAAAAAGAGACATACAGACTAATCTATAGTCACAGAATGGATTTAAAAAAAGTGGATAAGCTCTAGGAGCACTAGACAGTAAACTTATGCTAAAGAAATCCAAGTGTATTTTAAAAAAGCATCAATCACATTGACTGACCAGAAAAAAAGGACCATATTCAAGTAAATAGGGAAAGAGACATACAAACTGACTAATCATTTAACCAACTAACATAAAATGAGCAACAAAGTTTTTTTAAAAACTGAAAAACATCTGAGATAAAACGTCATCCAAACCTGTTAGATCATTTTTTTCCTGTTTAATTTGAAATGTACAAGTAATTTAGATGACTAGATCCTTTGTGACTGATCTCACTGCTGGACTGCACTGAGTATTCTGCATGCAGAACTGCATTAACGAACTCAGAACCATCAACTCTGACACTCTGCTAAAGACCAGTCTTGTACCATGGCTCAACAAGATATAGCCTCGGGCTATAGACCTTGGATGACGAGGCCTCTGAGGGGTTGGTCCTGCCGGCATGGTGTATATGGTCTAGGTTGAAGCAGCTGTTCATGAAACCATGGGCAAGGACTAAGACCTCAAGCACTAGCTGGTTAGGCCTCAGGTGCTGTGCATGGTTTTTTCCATAATGTCATGGTAGCGTTTCCCTTCAAAATTTTATTAGAATATTTTTGAAAATATGACTGAATGATCTCAATTCCATATTTTGTCTTTTAGCATGTTTGAAAGTTATGAAGTTCATTTGAGGCTAAATTTGTACAGTGAAAACCCATTTGTCCGGACTTCTGGAACTGGAATATCCTGACCCATTTGTTAAAATATTTTTGATAATTCTTGTCATAATGCTCAATGTATGTATATTGATTTTTTTTTTATTCATAATTCAATTATGGTACCATTAATTTGTCGTTCAAAATTCGTAAAGGCCACTAAATCGCCCTTCCACTAGTCACACAATCAAAGAGACCAGAGACGCTGACAGTCACGTTTTTGTTTAAAAAAAAATAATAATTTAAAAAAAATGTCTGTCCTTTTTAAAAGACTAGTTGTGTTGTTCATATATTAGCTTCCATCGAAAAGGTTTGTTTTTCATATATTTTTATTAGGCATTTTTTTACTTATAAATTTTTTGCCAAAAGCATGTCCGGACTTAAACAAAAGTCAATAAAAGACTATTACTTTAAATGTAACTTGTTATATGAATGAAAGTGTACACTTTTGTTTGTTTGGTGTGTGTGTGCATGTGCACGTGCGTGTGTGTTTTAAGTCCGTTTTTATGATTATAATAAAATCACAAATTTTCGGAATATCTGGACTTCCAATCATCTAGACAAGTTCTGGTCCCTTCAAGTCTGGATAAACGGATTTCTACTGTACTTGAAATTTAATTCCATGTTTTTTTTATAATTTAGTGTGAAAGCGACTGAGGATGGAAAGAAAGCATTGATCGAACTCGCCGGCGGCGATATGAGAAAGGTTTTAAACATTCTACAAAGCACGGCGACAGCTTTTCCGATTGTCAACGAAGACAATGTCTACACCTGTGTCGGCCATCCAACAAAATCAGACATCACGAACATCTTAAACTGGCTACTCAACTCCGACTTTGTCTCTGCGTACAACAGTACGTTTCTTTAATTCTAGTCATTTTGATTAACATTAATTTATTTTATTTTTTCAGTGGTTCACGAATTGCAAATCAACAAAGGTCTTGCCCTGGTAGACATTCTGCACGAAGTCCACACTTATATACATAAAAGTAAGCGATATTGTGTCATTGTAAAGTTACATTGTTTAAAATTTCATTGGTTTCAGTCGAACTCCCTTCTGAAGTTTTAATCGAGCTCCTAATAAAACTCGCCGACATCGAACATCGTTTATCAATCGGCGCGTCAGACAAACTGCAGTTGAGTGCAGTTGTCAGTGCATTTTTCATCGCAAGATCCTCCATCGTTGTACCTGAAAGTGTTTGAATGTCCTATTTTTTACCTGTCATTAAATCGTCTAATTTTTTTATTTCTTTTTTTATGTTCTAACCTTCATTCAATTATTAATTTTCATGTAAATATATATATGTACGATTACATACTACTTCTTAAAGTAAGGATCAGTTGAATTGTACTAAGCAGCAAGGAAAAGTACAATATTGCAAAAGAGAAAAGCCGGCAGTGCCAACGAATACCAAAACCCCCACTTCCTAGTATCGTTCTCATCATCATCACATGTTTATGGTGCAGGGCAAGTTGGTTGTAAACAACTTATACCTATGAACAGATGTTCAAGGAAAATACATCCTATAAAATAATCTACAACTGATAGAAATACACACTCGGTAGACTACAAAAATATTCTATTTATTTTTATAACATTGGAACATACATAAATATTATGACATTGATAAGTAAAAATACTTATAGAAATTTTTCAGGCAGTCTGATTTTTATTTTATGCAAGAACAAACTTATAATTTGACTGTATGAATTAATTTGCATTGGCTTTCGCCTTTGAGTGTAAAATTGAAAAATCGATTAACACTAAAACAAGAAAAGAAATAAATAAGTATTTACAAGAGCACCTATAATCGAAATTGTCAACTCATCCAAATATGTTAGTGACGAAATTGTTAAAGCCAGAAGTTATCGACGAGAAGAAGCCTGGGTCCGTCGGTGCGCCTGGCTTCGGCGGCTGAGAGACGTGGTGGTAGTAATGTTGTTGGTGCGGCCTGTAAAATCCGGTGTCCTGCCTCTGAAATGACATTAAAAAATTTTAAAAAAAAGGACAAATTGATACTATATTATGTATATACTTTTTTTGAGGTGATTTGATGAAAAACAATCTTAATATAATACAAAAAATTAATGATTATTTACTTTTTTAAAATAATAAAATTATTTATAGGAAGTTGTATGTACAAAATATTGTATTATTGCTGTTATCCTTCACCTCAGATTAAAAGAAGATTCATGCAAAAATTCAATTTTTTTTTTTTAAATGCAATATATTACATTTATGTACAAGTAATACTTACCAGTTTTTAGGGAATACTATTACTTCACCTTTGTCTTTCAATGAGTTTGACAAGATCGGTTCCGTCGTGGTTTCTAGAGGCGTTCCATATGAATCTGCCGCTAGAGCAGTATTATTCTGAAAATACACCTTTTACAAATAATCTGCTGTCAGAAAAACTATGGGGGTTGGGTGGGTGGATTGTTCGTAAGAAAAATATGCCAGTTTTCAACTGTGTATTTAAACGGGTGATTAGAGTTTACAGGGCAGTATACGAGGCAAAGTTAATACGGGTTCTTTCTCCGTCTAGGAGAGATCCTTACAATTATATCGAGTCTAACGGGAGTTGCTGCCTCATTGAAACATTACCAATTATGGTCGATTCTCAATAGCAAAATTATTTTTTTAACATTTTTTTTTTATAAATAACTTATTGTCAATCAGGTGCTTTGTGAATACATCAATTGGTCAATACTAAATTTCTTCAGGGTTCTTTTTTTTGTGTGCAAAATAAAAACATTGCTCTGATATGAGGCAACATCAAATATCTACCATTTAGATTTTCGGTTAATAAGATATTTATCGCATAAAGGGATACGTTTTTTAGGCGAAAGATTAGTTTTAATGGGAAATGATGATTTTTTTTTTACATTACATGCTTTGTAAAAATGATAGTTTGATGATGACCCATTTACAATTAATTGTTAATGCTATGACAGTGCATGGTGTTGAGAGAAAGAAAACACTTATTTTTGTGTAATTCACTCTTAGGGGGGAAAAAATCCTCTTTGAAAATTTAAGTGCAAAGATTATATTTAAAAAAAAAAAAAATCGTCGAAGCGTATTCCATGAAGAAGTTGACCGTGATACAGCGAACTTCAAATATTATAATAGAAATTGATTACAATTTTTATTTATTTATTACTAAATCCCCTGTGGTGTAAACTTTTTACGTCACAATATGATACAACTCGCTAATGTAAGAATATTCAAATAAAAATTACTACAGGTCAATTTTTAAAATATACTACCATAATTCATTGGACATCTGGCAGTTTTAACATCTTTCTTTGATAAGCTTTCTACTTTTTCCACTTCCAATTTTATTTTAAAACTTGGCAATTATAAAAAAAAAAATCCTGCTAAGCCAAATTCCACTTGATCCTAACACATTTTGGCCGGTGAGGAATTTAGAAATTTTCTGAAAACTATTTCCAATCATTTTTCTGTGTGTTTATCCTGAGGTCTGCAAATTCATGAACCTACTTGGTCCTTTCTAGATGTTTTGGTCTGCCTGCAATCATTATTTGTGTCTCAGACTAGAACTTCTCCTCATCTTCAATGGTGGGTTTCAACCAAAATTATTATTATAAACTGAAGATGGGTAGAAGCAGAAATCTGACGAGATAAAACTGTGAGAATGAGCAGATCAAATTGATCCTGAATGATTTAACTACTTATATTATTCTTGTTCTGTTTTTTCAAAATTCCCAGCTTATTTTTCAAAACGCACGTGTGTACTTCCTTCTGTATTATTGAAGCTATTTGGCTAATCTGATCAAGGTTCAGTTCAAATCAGCGGGACTCTACAGACAAAATTAAGTCACAATGCAAAAATCGACAGGTTTTTTTTGGCACGAAATGTCATTCGGTTCATAAAACACCCTTAACTAGGCTATTATTTAAAAAAATAAAAATAGTCCGTTACTTCTGAACGCTTTCAATTATCAAATAGGGTTCTTACTATATTTAATAAACTTCTCACAGTTGGACATATTTTTAAAAAATTTATAAACAAAAAAATCTACTTCTGCAAATGGCACATCTAGATAACAAACTGAACTATATCACAGTCAGACCTCCATGATCCGATTTGAAAGAGGATGGGATTGTCCCGGCATTAACTAGACCTGTTTCTAATCTCTTAACACTCGCTAAGCTTGTACATCATCAGCCTTACAACGCTAGAAAAAGGGTGTTCTCAAATATTAGACCTAAGCGTTTTATACATACGTATTTACAGTACCAAAATTGAATGCTTGGCGAATAGTTTTAAAATCCAAGACAGTAATTTTTTTTAAATTAAGTATGCAAGAATTCAAAGATTACAAATTGTACTTTAAGCCTTCTAGCTATTCCACTTTAGCTATAGGCTATTCTTAACCTAACTTCTAACGAGAATATATTTTATTTACAATTGTTATTTGTTTTTTAGATACTGGGTTAAAGTGTACATTTATTAATTTAATTTGATATAATGATATAACAATTCACATTTAAGTGATGGGATAGCTCAAAAATATCTAAATATATATTGCACCTGGGACTTAATTATGTCTGCCATATTAATAGACAATTATATCTCAGATGATAACCAGGGTTTTTTTAAATAGTTTTTCCTAGATATAAAGTCAAAACCAAACATCTCTGATTTTCAAAATATAATTTTAAATATTTGCGATTTTTTTCATATCTCCGAGGTGATGAACCTGTAGCTTGGTTGTTTCCAATCATTTTTTATCTATCTATTATCGCTGGGCATACAAAATTGCTAAAAACATAGTTCAATCAGACAATGGATTATGAATAAGCCCTCAGTTCAATGAGATTGCGTTCCAGATCATAGGCATGCGAATAGTCCATAAGGAATGATAGTACGACTTCTGACCGGAGTCTGGATACTTCAGACTTTGAAGCAGCAGAATCAAGTGTGGGCAGATATTGCCAGGAAAAAGAAAAAAGAGCAAAACATGTCTTTTGTTGGTGCGAAGGCATAAGTAGCCTGGGAGAGCAAAAACCAAGGCCTGAAGGATTTTCTGCCTCACCCCGCTTATAACTCTGACCCAATGTACAATATATTGGTTTTTCTTTTGAATAAAAATTACACCCAGTGTTAAATTACAGAAAACCTCAGCAATCTATAGCAGGATTTGTAGAAGAGCCATAATCTTGCCAACACCTGCGACTTTTGCAAGCAGTCAGGGTTATAAACAGGGTGAGTGAATTATTATTTTTAGGTAATCACTACAACTAACTTCTCAAAAACAAGTTATTCCATGCGTACTTTTGATTATTTTAAGTTTTTTTTTTTTTATTCAACACAGTCAATCAGTAATCTCAAATTCCCACTGATGATAGCAAAAAAGAATGCATCTGTCAAACTGAAAGATGTGGGTAGACACATGTGAACCCTTAACAAAGCGTTAGGATTTGATAAAAACCCTTAACTTTTACAAAAAGCTCTAGATATGGAGGCTCTAGATATGGAGATTGCAGAATAGACCAATATTGGACGTGATGCATAATGTCAGCAAGAAGCCGACCTAACCTCAAACAATCACAGTCCAGCTTTTCTCTATTTTCAACAATGCCTCACTCTGCTTATAACCCTGACCTATTGTACAATATATTACGTTTCTGTTGCAATAAAAATTACGTCCATGAAATAATGATTATTAATGGACTATTTCCTAAGTTTTGTTATGAAAAATTTACAGAACAAACTCAGCTAACCTATGGCGAGTTTGTAGAATTGTTTGTAGAAATTACAAGTTTTTCAAGCGGTCAGGGTTATAAGCAGGGTGAGTGAATTGTTAGTTTTTACAATCATGTTCTATGTTCACTGCTGTTCATTTTAAAAGTTTTTCTTTACTCAATATGGTAAATCAGTAATCTCAAACTTCCACTGATAACAGTGAGAAACAGTGCATCTGACAAACTGAAAGCGGAGGATCCAAAAATGATCAGAAACGACCCTGCTTGTTACATTTTAAGAAAAGCTTCCCACGAAACTCCAAATTGTGTGCAATTTCGAAAGCTTAGAAGTAACAAACTGACATTGGCTAATTTTTTTTTAATGTTAAAAAAATCAATGGCATACCAGAGATGAACAGTATTTTGTCTGACAAAAGTTAAACTTGTACAATTCGAGTTTTGGAATTTTTTTAAAAATAACATTTAATTTAATTATGCATGGCAACGTTGTTGGACGATGGACATTCGTCTGATATCGATCAGTCATCACTTATATCTCCATGATATTAAGCACAAGATTACTTTAATTATAGCTTTATAAGATAAAAACAAGTATCAATTTTTACCAAATTTCTATAGTTAAACTCACTTTGTGAGTAACTAAGGGGAAAGATTGGGCACTACCATGGCATTTCAATTATAAAGGTTTTTAGATAAATGTTAAAAAAGGCCTCATTCCTTTAAATTTCACCCTGAAATATTGTTAGATTTAGATGAAATATTTTCTATTTACATTACATTATGTTTACTTTGAATATAAATTAAACTTTAAGCAATGTACCGGGTTTAGAAACTATTTTTGCTATTTTTTTCTTTTTTTACCTCACAAATTTCTATTTTCTAGTCAACCTAATATAAGAAAATATCTGAAATCGCTATTACAATCAGGAAATGCAAATTCTGTAGAAAAAATATACGCTTCATAAATATGTATATATAATGTGAAAATTCCCAAGGTTAATGAGTTAAAAGCCCTAGAGGTTAATGCATGCTGATCCCCATCGTTTTAAAGAATGCCAGTCGCATCGAGTGATCCTAATGAGGCCAGGTATCCGGATATGTAAGAATAAATTCATGCGAATAAACCAATTATGGATCTCCAGCCAAGTACGCAGAGGGGAAGGATACAAGTGACAATGGTATAAGAGACGTGTGAGTTAGTATTGGCGTTGTACAGTTGATACGGCCTGTCACCCCTTTCACCGGCACCTTCGGCATACTCCGAGTAGGGAAGGTTGTACTTGGGAGCCAACTTCAACCAGGGCGGCTCCCAAGGCCATCGACCCTTCTCCTTCTCACCTACCTTGGCCTGGAAGAGAGTCACATTGAGCAGAGTCGGATGTTGCTCCACCACTCTGAACTCCATTTCCCTTGGAGTGTATCCATCAGCGTACACCTAGAAACATTTAAAATATGTACTTTATTTGTTAGCATGTTAAATAAAGTCAATTTTATGATTTACAGTAAGTGATTCATAACTCTAAAAAGCTTGGATTTTGCCAGTTTCCCATAACATAAAATGAAATAATATTATTTGGAAAAATGAATTATGCAATTTTTATTTAGAATTGTTTGTAGTATATTATGTTTAAGTTTTTCCTGCCAAATTAACCATTTTTAATTTGAAATTACACCTTTCCACCTTCCCCATCAAATTAATCCTTTTTTAATTTAAGGAATCAACACCTTTTCTATTAAATAACCTTTTTTAATTTGAAATTACACCTTTCCAATCAAATTAACCTTTTTTAATTTACACCTTTTCAATCAAATTAACTGTTTGTTTTTTAATTTATTTTATTTTATTTTTAAATTGCACCTTTCACATAAAACAACCTTTTTTAATTTGAAATTAACCCCCTTTCCATCAAATTAACCTTTTATAAGTTCAATTTACACCTTTTCCATCAAATTAACCTTTTTTTTCTTCTTTTTGTTTTTGTTAATTTGAAATTAACACCTTTCTAATCAAATTAACCTTTTTTAATTTGAAATTAACACATTTAACGTCAAATTAAATTAACCTTTTTTAATTTGAAATTAACCCTTTTTAATGTCAAATTATCCTTTTTTACTTTCAAATTAATCCTTTTTTTTATATTTCAAATTAAATATTTTTCATTTGAAATGGACCCTTTTCCATGTCAAAGTAACCTTTCTTGATTTCAAATCATTTCTTTTTTTTAGCTTTAACCTTTAATTAACCCTTTCCCCCCATCAGATTTCAAATTAACCTTTTTTTCAATCAATCTGTTCTTTAAAGCATAACAAACACTTAGGAGATGGAATGAAATATTCCTGTACATTTGAGATTTTTTAAATATAAAATAATTTGGCTCAGACCATATGAAAAATAAAATTAAAATAATATAAAATAAAATATATAAATAAAGGTTTCTTCTTTTAATTCAAGAAATATGAAAAATTGTGGTTTTTAAGAGTAAAATTTTTTTTATTAAAAAAAACTCAAAAAAAATTTTTTTTTTTTTTTTTAAATTTTACTACACTAGACCAAGTTAGTACAAGTAATACACAGTGAATGACTTGAATTAAATACTTTGCATCTGGTTATAACCATCCCTAAAAGAGTTAATGTGAAGTTAAAATTGGTTAAACAGTTAAGAAGGGTTAATTTGACAGAAAAAGCTACAGCTCCATTTCCAATTATTTTTGCCTGTGAGATGCAGTTCAGCCTTTCGTCAAATTAAAAACAACCAAACAAAAAAAACAAAAAAATCAAGAAAAAATATGATGATAATATTTGGTACCAACCTCAAGAACGTATTCACCGGGAAGTAGGATCCTCCAGAATTCGCCGTACTTTGTTGTCTGGAAGCCAACATCCCTTCCTTTGATCTTCAGCGACGCCTTTTCAACGGGGTTGTTGTTCTCATCCAGGACGAAACCGTGCACACCCCTGTGTGCTTCTGCTAGAAATTTGACTAGAGGCTGGAACATAAAAAAGAGTTAAAAAATACATAAATACAGTATAAAAGACCAAAAGAATGATTCTGAGTGATATTTACCAGTCGGTTGTCCTCCCAGTACTTGGGCAGATCGGCAGCCGGAGGATATTTGCAGCAAGACAGCTCAAGAGTTATTTCCATGCATCCGTACCAGACATAATTAAAATCTTGCATGCCACCTAAATATTATTTTTATTTTTACAAGTAATAATAGAAAGTAAACTTCTATAATTTAAAATATATTATTTCTATATTAAAAAAGACCATTTGTAAATATTATTACCTGTAAGTGGGTACCAAGCAGCACCATTGGTGATGCCGTCAGTGAAAGCCGGGCTTCCTGATTTACACGCCCTTCCTTTGTGCATCGCCGGATGATTCTGTGAGTACACCAGGGAAAGATGCTTGAATACGTCCTCATCCGGAGTGAGAGACGGTGATGAGGCATAGCTTTGGAACACTTAAACAACATCAATAATTAACCAATTATAAAATCTAACAAATTAGGTTAGTATTAAATAGTAAATTTGTGTTAAAAATTTGGTTGCTACATCGTTTACAAGAAGTTTATAACAAATATTCTTGTTCTTATTACTTTTAGCATTTATAGACAAAAATGAAGTCTTGTAAGAAGCTGTAATTGTATATGTATCCTAGAACGTAATTTTTATCTCAGCTCGCAAAATATGTCCAGAAATAAGTAGGGTGAGATGCAAAACACTAACCCACCACTGAACATGAAGAAAAGTTACAGACCAAAACAGCGAGGTAATAGATCAAAATACAAAATTTTTTCTATCAATCCAATCATTTCATTAATTTTTTAAGCTAGACAAAAATTTCAGCCGAGTGCCTGTTTGTCTTTAATTATTGACAATGTGGTTTGATAATTTTTTAAAGATACGCGTAAAACCTTAAGAAACAAGCTCGCTGGTCAATAATTTAAGATGTACGACTATGTAAAGTGGTTTTATATAGTAAAGTATGTCATGAGATATTTCCATTCCGCCAGTCTGTTTGTTTATTTGCAAAATCTGCTATTGGACTTTAGAATAGAAAGTAACTTTCAATTGTTTTAGATCATCAAATAAGCTACAACTACAGGAGAAGAATTAAATAATGTTTAAGTCTGCTTCAGTGAGTGGGAAACCAAATCAACCCACATGGACAAAACCAAGAGAGGATAAACAGACCAACATGATCAGTAAGAATCAAATTACAAACTAAGTCAAAAATTCCTGTCAGACAGGGCTTAACATCCAACTTACCATGTTACAGAAAGAGATTTTATTTACATAAAAACTTAATCAAATTTCCAGAACAAAACTATTTAATTGGAAGAGAAAAAGAAAGTTAGCAGCGTAATTGTTTAAAAATTTTATCAGCTTAAAAAATTTTAATTAAGGTTTCAATAAGTAAACAATATGTAATAATTATGTAACTATTAAATTATTACAAAACAATTGAAAAGTTTTTAAACAAGTAAATATTTTAACAGCTGTTTTTGTCTATTATTTTGAAGAAATTAAGACTGAATGAAAGTTGTTTGCCTAATGAAACGTGTATTCTTTTTGCAGTTCTTACTGTTTTCTATATATGTTTTGTTGTATATTTATTCTGAAGTTTAAGTTAGAAAAGAACTTTATGAGAGAGGAAAACATCTTTGAAACATTTACGAACCCCGACGAGTATAGCTATGATTTTCTTTTTTTTTCTTTTTTAATTTAAACGATCTCCTTCTGCCGTTTCTCGACTCACATTTTACGCCATTGCGATAAGAAGTTTTTCTTCTTTTCAGCCGAACGAGAAAAGGGGAAAAAGGACGAAATTGCCCAGGCTTTGAAACCGATACTGTTTTGTTCGAATAAAAACAAAACAAAGTTCAATATTGAACGCAGGTTTTAAGGAATGTACATTCCGGGATAATTGTAAAATTGGTCTTTTTCTCGTCGACCGGTCGGCAAAGGCGGCAAAAATAGACATGATAAGACACGGCGGAACGATTGGATCAAGTAAATATAATTAATTATTGCTATCGTAAAAGAGGAAATTTATTTAAGCACAGTAGTTTAAGTTAGGCCGTTGTATTTTTTTAATTATAAAATTTCTCTAATTTTAAATATTTTTGTTTTTGTTTTAAAGGAGATTTAAATAAAGGAGGTTTGTATTAGGGACAAGTGGTTTTAAATTTGACGTCAGAATTAAGTCCAAAGAGTTAAACATTTATTTTAATTTTCAGATTTAAATTTTATGAATTTTTTTTAACTGATTCATACCAGGGTATTTAACTTTAAGCCAGGCAGTTTTTAGATTTAAATTTGAAGATAGAAACCAAACTGACTTTTACTTTATTACAAGTACATTGCTATGAAAATATATTTATAAAGAAACAGATTTTTTTTAAACAGAATTGTTTGTGGAAATTGTACTCAATTGATTTTGAATCAATGTATGAGAATGACAAACACAGTCCAAAGGTCATATGGTTCAAACAGAGTTGAAATAGAATCAGTCAAAGTTTAAATTAAACTGAACCCTTTTTCCTTCCTGGTTTCCATTTCTATGTAGAAAGATTTTTATTAATATTATTTTTTTTAGAATAATACATTAATAACACACTACCCCTACTTAATGAAAAAAAAAATATTTTCAGCAATTTTACTATAATTATTGTCATTTTAATTTATTATTACACTTAAAAAGTCGTTACAACAGGAAATTTGATTACATTTAATATTATTACAGTAGTGAAATACTCATATTCCAGTTTTCTATCATGTATTCTAGCTGTCATTGGAAATGTTATTTGTACTTTTTAATTGTGTAAAAATTTTATTATTAGCCTACAACTGCACCAATTTATGCAATATGTTGTTACATGTTATATATCAAAATCGTGGATTAATAGTATTTGGCAGCTTCTACATCTATACATGACCTAATAGATTACTTTATGTACACAATTGCTAGGTGACACCTCAACCTCCTAGGAGGATTGGGAGGAAAGGTCACAGTTGAGGGACTTGGGATGAAGAAATAATTTAATTGAGATTTGGCAAGGTCATTAACGTAAAGAATTCAGAGGTCTAAGTTGGGTAGTCCTACAAAGAAAGAACCATCAGTGGTTGTGCAGAGAATTTTTTTACAGGAGGGATTAGATACTGTTAAGATTTGATTTCGTAGCTGTCTCATACAGATCCAGTCTGTAAGCCCATACGTGTAGTTCAATTTTGCCATTTTAAGTCATGTGTGTGCATTGCATACCAATGTTTTGTCTATATATAGCTACATGTGTTTGATGTGACCTATGACAGGAAGTCGAATTTGATTTAGATAAACAGAAATTCCTTTAAGACTGTCATACTTTTGTTGTGAGAGTCTTTTGAAATTAGGGGGGTTATGAAACTGCAGTTTGGTTATTTTCAATCACTTTGGTCTTCCATATTTCTTGGGTCTATTTCCAGGAACTGGACAACTTTAAGTTTAACTTACTTTCATCACTGTTTTGGTTCAAACATTAAAGCTGACAAGAAGGCCAACTTGCATCTGACAGACCAAACTACATATCATAGTTTTGTGAGATTCCCTCTTGAGGTTAGCAGGGTTATGAGCTTGCATTTTGAACATTTTCGATTGTTTTGATCTTCCTATTATCTCTGTTTTGGCTCAACCACTGAAGAAGTTTTAATAGTTTTGTGAGATTCCCTCTCGAGGTTTACAGGGTTATGAATTTGCAGCAAAGAAAGACAGACCAAAATGATCCGAAACAACCAAACTACATGTCATAGTTTTGTTACTTTTTAATTTCAGGATTATTAGGATCTTAATGTAAGAAGCTTGATATTCATGAAGTCAAATACATTTTCGTACAGTGAACATTTTTGCCAAGTCTGTATAACTATCCTTAATTACAATTTCGGTCAATTTGGTGACATGAATTTTTTTCTTTATCTCAAAAGCAAAAGGAAAACACTCGAGTCTCTTAATTAGTAACACATGTAGCACCATTGCATCCATGATTTTTCACTTTTATATTAAAAATAAAAAATATTAATTTGGAAATTGGATAAACAAATCAAAAAAGACTTAAAGGACAACTTATACACAACCATTAAAAGACATACATACATGTAGACAATACTGAAATAATTGAATGTTATGAGTATACAAAGTATGAATGTTAATTTTTTTGTTACTTGCATGGATTCTATTTAGTATTTATTCTACAAACCATTATATTTTATATAATTAATTATGTAAATTAAATGTTAACAAGACCCAGAATTTTCTTTTTGTTTTGAAGATGTGTAAACAAGAACTGCCTGATGCTAATATATAATGTACTTCTCAATGATCTTAGGGACAAGGCTCAAAAATGGAAAACACAACATACAATTTAAACAAATTAAAACACCAGAGGCAGCAATTTTTATATCTAGGCCGTTTGAATTTCTTTTGATGTGGGCATTCCTAAACAAGTGATTGTGGCAATGACATGTTTGTAATTTAAAAAAAATTGTAAATAAATTTATTGCTTTACACATATCAATTATCAATAAGTTTTTAACATCAATCAGTTGGAATTGATTTATAGTTTCTACAGTATTACACCTTGACGATTGGTTTTTATAGATTAGGTTTTATTGTTTTCTGACTACAAATATATTAATTATGGCCTTCTTTGTCTTTTTTTCTGTATTGTTAAGGTTATTCTTTATTTGTGTTGTTTATAGGGCAACATTTCAGAAGGTGTAGGCTGTTTTGATAATTATTGGCCTACAAACAGCATAGTAGTTTTTCCAGGCATTTTTTAAAATAATTAATGCTATTAATAAAGAAACTGCGAACCACTTTAATGTCAACGTCAAAACTTATTTATTCATTATTACTATTTTTTATACAATATGTTTACCAGACCCAAACCACATGTTTATTACTTAAGTGGAGGATGTATTTATAATTTAAGAAAATAGATTTTTTTTAAATTAATTAATTAATTTATTTATTTATTTTAAGCAGGGAGACAGAGATACTCCGAAAATGACCAATCAGGATCTGATTTATTGAACCAATTAATCCAAGTCAATTCTGCCTTGGAAAACGGTGAGGTGCTTAATTATCAATGCCACTGTGTCTGTTGGGGCCTCGGTCACATTGGGACTTACTCTTTTGGAGAATCGTTAATATTTTGCCCATGTTTTGAGAGTAGGGAGATTTCTCAACGGTATAGTTCATATTAAATTACCCTTCGTATTTTATTATAAATTGAGGGTTGATGAAATGAACCAAACAAAGCACAGAAAGTATATGTGTGATTTAAAATTTAATAAAACCTGAAATAAAGTGTTGTTATACTCCAAAAAAATCATTTCTTCAACTGAGAATTTATTGATAGGTCAAAAAATTTGATCCATTAGGTACTGAGTAAACAATCTTATGTTTTATTTGTTTTTAGCTATATAAAAGAAATATCAAGAGAATTGAACATAAGGGATCCGTACTTTTTGTTGTACCACCCAGAACTACACCCGACTCATCGGAGTGTCCTCCTAGATTGGGTTGCCGAAGTTTGTAAGACATACAGCCTTCAGAGGACTACATACTATCTGTCTATATATTTGGTAGACAGTTATTTGCAGCTGACGACAGACAAGCCGAGACGGTCGCTTCAGACACTCGGTGCTGCGAGCATATTTTCAGCCAGCAAGATCATAGAGGTCAACAGCGTCACCATAGACCAAATACTACTCTCCACCAGTTATTCATGCAGCGCCGATGAACTTATCAAAATGGAAATGGAAGTGCTCAAAACAATCGAGTGGGAGTATTCAGCATTGGGACCCATCGGTTGGCTATACATCTACTTGCACACCATAAACTACAGATTGACTTCAGAAGAGTTCACTCTGGTCACAAACTTGTTGGACATTTGCAACATGGACGTCGACTCTCACCAGTTTACCAGCCCGGCTCTGGCCTCGGCCGCTTTACATCTGGTCGTCAAGGAGTCCCCAATACCAAATTCTTCGAGACTGGACGATTCTTGTTCTGTTTGGATGTATCCTTATTACATCCAGCTTATGAAATTTCCAGAAGCAAGGGAAATCCCAGAAAATAAATCTGAACTGGTTTGTCCTATAATGAAGAAGTTTTCCTTAGAACAGCACTATTTTAACAATTTACGAATCTATAATGAGATCTCTACTAGATTATCAAGACATTTGTAGAAAAAAGACTGTAAATTTAATGTAAAGTTGTTTATCCCAATGCATTGTTTAATATATTTTGTTTTATAAAATATAAACAGAAACTATTTATAAAACTTTTGAGAATCATTATTATTACTTATAATAAACATCAACAAAAATAAAAATATATAAATAAAATAAAAATATTTATAATTATTATGTTTTAAATAGTGTTCCTACATCCTATTTTTTTTTTTTAAGGGGCTTTTTATAAAATAAAAATATTTATAACGATATTTTAATTGATTTTAGATATTATTCAGAGCCAATTCATGCCAATAAATCTTATCCATAACCCGTCCAACTGATAACTTGCCAATGCGTTAAAAGGTTATCAATTTATTGAGTTCATATCAGTCCCGGAGGTTTGCCATTTCATATTTACTTAGAACAAATAATCTTACTGGACAATACAAATTTTGAAATAATTATTATTAGTCAAACAGAAGAAACGATAGCTTCTGTGGTGGTTGTATGGTGGGATGCTGAAGATACCACATCAACATATCTTCAGGCAAGAATAGGGTAGATTAGTTGCACACAAGTTCATGCTAGGACAGGCCACTATAAGCTACCTTCATGCTGAAAAACAATTAAAACTTAGGGAAGAACTTCAAAATTATGCCCATGAATGATGACTCCTGGTCATGTCTGATGATACAATTTTCGCAGTTTGGTATGCTGTAAAATCATTCAGGGCCTGTAGGTGTCCTCATTGAACTTTCCATGGCCAATTTACCAGGTTCCTCTTGTTATAGTTGGCATTAACTGGGATCCCTTCTTACAGTCTGCTTCGCTATTTTATTCAAATGTTTAGGTCATGGTATCAACAGTCATTCCTAAAACCTGGTCTGCCTGAAGTACTTCTCGAAGGCATTAACTGCTTCTTTTTTCCTTGGAGCCTGTTGCTGCATTAATCTGTGGATTCTGACTCTAGCTTCTCCCTGGATAAAGGTATGTAGTGGTTGTGGATTCAGGAGGACTTCCAGGGCAGCAGGAGGTCATTTTCATGTCCCCAGTAATGCTTCTCAGGCAGTCTATTCTTTGAGCAGTACTGAGAATCCTGAACTTAACTGTAATGTCTTTGTCCACCAAACCATAAGTTATCATAGGATCTAACAAACGCTGTATATAATCATAAGAACATCTTTGGCTTAGTCCCTAGCTTTTTTCATAAAGGTATATACATCTGACAATAGCAATTTTCGCTCTCTGTGAGATTTTAATTTGTTGAAGATTTCAACAAAGTTTTGATGAAAGATGACACCTAGATACTTCACAGAAATTAGTCATTCTTGCGAGCAGTACTGAGGGTCCTGACTGACGTTGGCAGTAATGTCTACAACCACCAAACCACCGAATCATAGGCTATCATGGGTTTAACAACTCTTCTTTGGGGACTTTAGGACAAACCAATATATAGAGGTGCACAACAGTCCAAATTTTAAGTATGCTGCTAGCTAAAAGCTCTTTAATCAGTGGTCAACAACAAATCTAATAAATTCTAAATAGGTACTAATCTTAAAGTAAAGTAATGAAGTTTGGAGTGCAAAAGGGTAGTATTGATCCTGTTCAACTTTTATCTTGTCAGTAATGGTAATCGGACGACAAATGTACCAATTAAAAGAATAATGAAAAAAGATACTGTCAGTTCTTTTCTTATTTTTTTAAAGGGGGTGCATTCAGCCTTCGGTTGGGTAGCTTCAAATGCTCATAAACGAAACAATGTTTGGCTGGCTGGATTAAAGGGGCTGGTGGTATTCACATCAACGAGTGTAATTAACAAGTTGAAACTAAAAAGAGCTTAGTAAAAAACGGACGACATAAAAAAAATTGTTGAAATAACCCTGAAAACATCCTATTTCTCCAGTCTAAATGTCACTTCCTCCAACTTGCAAATGATGCAACAAATGACCTACGACCATCACATTTTACAAAATTCATATAAACTTTATGACTCCAGTTTGACGTACGTTTGGAAGAAGGAACAGCCATTACCACAAAGAAAGAGTAGGGCACTAAAACCAAAAACAGAGTTGTAGGATAGGGAAAAATTTCGTTTTTTATATGCTCCGCTTGTATAAAACGGAACTATATCCGTCGGGCTGTCTCTATGGACAGGAAGAAAGCATCTATGAAAAAATATACGTTCTGACGTAACGTCCGGTTAAATTTTTAAGTGAACTCTACTGTCACATCTCGGGGATAGAGAAACAAATCAGCAACTGAAGGTCTTTCTTTTTTCATATATACCTCTTAATTATTGACGTAAAACTGATTTGCTTGATCATATCAGTACTTAAATTAGACTTAAGGCCTTTATAACACAATTATCTTAATGAAATTTCATTTATATATATAAAAAGATTTATCTGAAAATGAACCCATGTTCACCTCTGTAGCTGAAATTTAACAGCAATTTTTCTATCTTACCGGAACAGAGAGGTGAGGATCTACAAATTCCTTGGCAGCAAAACAGATTTCCCAGAGGTATTAGGCGTATTTTAATAAGCTGAGTTAAGTTTGACAATTGCAGCGGACTTACTCGAATTTGGAGTGTTGTCGAATGGATAGCTGGCGACGAGTGCACCGCCGTGCAGTCCTCCTGAAAGTACGAACTGTATCTTCGAAGTCCATTCTTTGACGGCGTCCGTCTCCGGCTGGCCTCGCTTGTTGTTCTGCTTGAAGTAGTCGGGGAAGTTGCGGTTTAAGTCAAACCCGCGGGCGTTGTATCTGCAAGAATCGACAGCTATAAGTCACAGGACAAGGTTGAAAAAAAGAAGAAAAAAAAGAGTCGAATTTACCTTCCTTGTCCACCGTCACACTGGCCCTCTTTGGCGACTTCGAAACCGTCCGGGTTCATCGAAGGCAGGATGTGGATCCTTGTGTTGTCCAGGAGCCACTTGATGTAAGGGTCCGTGTTGTAACTATTGACCAAATACTGCACACATACACAAAAATGAGATGAATCTCAGAATGGGTTTAGTTTTTAAATGCAAATAAACATTGAAGACAAAACAGTTCTGACACGAACAATATTTCTGGACATCTTGTGCACTGTTCCAAATCAGTGATTCATTGTTCTCCATTGCATCCTATTGCAACTCCTCTTGCCAATTTATTAATTTTAATAAACATTCAAAAGGAGTGAAGAAAAGAAAACGAGAAAGGGATGAATAAGAAAAGAACAAATGGAAGGGTCTAGTTATACCAAAGAGCTAAAAGTTTTAGATGTGGCCATTTCATTAAGAAGAATTGCTTATGAATGAATGCAAACTGACCAACGTCTATAATCAAAATACTTTATAAAGTCTCTTTTTGTGAGATTTCTTCATATCCTAGTATACCTATCCTCGCTAATTTGAAGTGTCGAGATGTTTCGTCCTTTCTCCGCCTTCGGTGGTGGGTTTCTGTTGTTGCCTCGCCCTTCTTATTACCCTGACTTAACGTACAGTAGATTACGTCGTTTGAATTGGGTTTCTGTAGCATAACATTGCCTCCAGAGTATACTAAACACGCTAGCTACCCACGGTCAGTTTCCAATGTTTATCCATTGAGGCTATTACAGGAATTCCTGATACCACTGTACGGATTTTTCTAAACACCCAAAAGAAATGAAGCAAAGACACAGAGATGGGGACGGATAAGAAAAAACTAATGTAAGGTATTAGTTTTGCATAACTTTAGTTAGTTCGGATTGTCAGACACGTTTCGTCTTTTTGCCGTCTTCAGTGGTGGGTTTCTGTTGTTGCCTCGCCCTTCTTATTCCCTGGCCCAACGTACAATAGATTACGACGTTTGAAGTGGATTTCTATTGAATACAATTTTCCTCCAGAGGTTAATAAAAACCATTGGTTAACATTGGCTAGTTTGGAGAAGAGCTTAGTATATTGGCGATGTATTAAAAGCTCAAGGTTCAAGCTTCTTTTGCTGTGTACGGAAATATTACAGAATCTTCTGGTGGCCAGGGTTATAAGCAGGGGGAGACATGAACACAACCACTAAAGCTGGAAAAAGCCAAACAGGAGTCTAACAGGCCGTAGCAACTAGTCAAAATCCAAAACCATACAAAATGGTCAGAATCGATTAAGTTGTTCTTTAAAGTAGATTCCACATGCCAATCACTAATCTGAAACTAATTCAAGGGCGTGTTGGCTGAAGTGTGTTCGTAAGCACGTCCGGACTTTTTTTTATGCTGTTGATGTTTTCAATTTAAACGAAAAAGAGCACAGGTATTGTTGCAGATTGGTAGGTCCGATCATTTTGGTTTGCCAAACCTCGACGTGTTCCTCTTGGTTTTCTGTATATGTCGAGGTGTTTGTCTCCAGTTTTTTGGTAGTTAGGTTGAGGAAATATAGTAGTCAGTCTATTGATGTGTTAAGTTTCAGCAGTAAAGGTTGTTTTAGTGTAGAGTTCAGTTCTGTTAGTTTTCAATGTTGTGGTTGATGTCCGTTCCAAAATCTGAGTGTAGATAACCAGAATGATAGAAAACGACCAAACTAAAGGTTCACAAACATGCAAACTCCAAGAATCTAAACAGTCCTAAACATGCCAGAAACTAAGTTGAGCTGTTGCGCAACACTAAGAACAATAAGTCTGGACTAGACTCTAGATTTATACGAAATAATAGCCGTAATGAGCGTGTCGAGTTACAAACATTGTCAAGTTATCTACGACACTCTTAAACAACGTCCATTGTTTAAAATCGTAAGTTTTTAAAGTGCAATTAGTAGTTAGTAGACCAGCGCATGTTTTATTCCGCAGAAAAATAATTTGTTACGCTACGAACTAGTGAAAATAGAAAGGTAGAGAAGTTTCAAAAGGGATGATGTGAAAAGTGGAAAGCGGTACTTGACGAATTGATCTTTTTACCTGTATCAGGTGCAGCATGAGCTCCCTGCCAACAGCTTCGTTTCCGTGCATGTTGGCCACATATTTCACATCCGGTTTTCCAATCATGTGCTCGTAGGGCGACGAGGATACTACCATGACCCACAAGTCTCGTCCTGAAATTCGTTTAAATTTAATGTTCAACCTTGACATCCTTCGTGCTGAATCTTACCTTGGACGGATTTTCCGATGGAGTAGAGCGCTGTCAGGTTGGGGTACCGCGACGAGGTCGTCCTCAAGAATTTCGTCATCCTCTCGAAGTCGTGGTACTTGAAGTCGAGGCCGTTGTAGTTCTGCTGGAAGGCGGCTTGAGGATAAGAACCCTGTTGGATCGGGTTCTGCTGGAAGTCGCCCGTAATAACCCTGGACGACGGGGCCTCAGCCGCAGCAAACCTGGCCTCCGCATTGTCAACGACTTCTTCGACCGGTTGGGCCTTTTCCCCGGAAGCCAAGCAACCCCAGCTCAGAAGCGTCATAGCCCACAACCAGTTTAAATTCATCCTGAGGCAAATATTACAAAATTAGATTCGGAAATAAGTTTTTCATTCAGAGCAGACCTTAAGGACTTAAACTTGGTGCAACAATGCCCAAGGACATAAGACGGCAAAAGATGTCGTAAGCTTACAACAGATCTTCTGCGGCAAAGACAGGAAAACTTAGTATTATTGCCGGCCTTTTAAGAGAACATTGCCGACTAAAGGAATTGGAAAATACTGGAAATGACAATGGCCTAGGCAGTTTCTGCCAGGAAGAAGAAACCGCAGTACTGTTGATGTGAAGGTATACTCAATTCAGAAAACAACCGATGCTATTAAGCCTGAACTGTGAGATCTGGAGACTGCCTGAAACGTCTAAACTAAATAAACAAACCAACCAGTCACTAGATAACTATAACCCATACGAGGAGGAGCACTATAATCATACCATCATAAGACGTTAGTCTTTAGCTGCATCAGCTACAAACATAAATCTACAGCTTCTAGTTTGTAAGATAACGTATTCATTCTTGTTTTTAATCGTACGCAACGTGAAAGATGAAATGACCTTGTCAAACATACAATCTAGTTACGAAATAACATCGATTATTTATTCAAACATCATTATTTAATTAAAAACAATTTGTATGTTTTCATTGATATTTTTGGTCTTTGGTAAGGTTATTACTTCATTAATGGCTACTTTCCAACATGTTCCATCACGACCCAGGGTGGTTGGACGTTATCCCTCCTTCATGAAACTACTTTAAATTTGTACCAAATTTGTATTTATTAAAACGGTTAATTTATATAATTGATTAACCTTTCACAAAATGTTTAAAAAAATACATATACATATAAAAAGATTAGTCAAATTAATGACTATGTATCATAAAGGATTTAAAAATGTATATACGACCCACATTGTAAAGTTTAGCCAATAAAATATATTACATAAGTTATCCATGATGGAAAGAAAGAAGAATAATAAAAAATACAAATAGAAGGGTATAACTACAAGACATAAAAATATTTTGTGAATTATAAAATGGAATAGATGACCCTTGAAGCTTAGAATCCCGTTGCCTTTTTCTAACTTCAAAATTAAATTTTTTTAAGGTGCCCTGATACTGTGTATTTATATTATAATCTATCCGAGTTACAGGAAGATGTTTTGACCGATGAAAATAATTAAAAAGAATATCGATTGCGTGATATGATGTGTAATTGTCCCAGGATACTGATTTCAAATTTAAACCACCTGTCACCCCTGGGATTTTTCAGGGATTCAAAAAGTAATTGAACTTGACTTCATTTTGATACATCCCCTTTCTGGACTTACTCGAGATTTCCTCTGCAGACTTTGGATCATCCGACGAAGAAATTCACGGCTATCCTTTTGCGAGGGCTCACTCCGATCTGAACTTGGCAATCTGACTGATCGGGATATCGCCGGCCGAGAAACCCGTTCCGGATTTCTTCTCCCTACTCCGCGCGTCCTAAGTCGGAAGAATAGAGAAAATTCAGCTGGGTTATCAAACCCACGACGATATGAGTCGAATTTTAACGAGTACATGATACGTATGCAACTCATAAGGGAGCAATTAGTGAAAACATGTACGACAATAATCAAAACTAAGCCGCTGGAATTATAGACGATAAGGAAAAAAGATCTAAATAAGGATATTTTCAAGGATAATATCTGGTTTTCCCCACTGATCCCAGCAGTTTAAATTATCACACGGTCATCTAGAGGTATTATCATGATTATATGATCTTTTAAAAAGAGTCGTTCAACAGAAAACCTGTTTAAACACCGTCATGTATTTTGGGCATGTGTTACGCATTGCCATGTAAGTATGATGGGCTTCAACCTTCCGTCGACTTCATCCCCTGGAAAGGACTGAACAAGCATCTCAAGAACTGCGACTTTCCATGCAATTACTTAAAAAATTAATATAGATTCGCTGATACATGATTTGCAAAACCAAATGGCCAAGGTCTGTTTTTCCAAAGTTCGGCTACTTTGGCAGATTAATAGACCGATTGATTCGACTAAACTGCTGTCACGAAAATTTAAATTCTACCTCACAATAGTGTCTAAAGATCGAAATCATTACAAGCTGGAAGGAAAAAAATCAATTTTTGTTAAATCTCTAAATGAATTTGAGGAACTATTAACGGAGTGCTTCAAGGCTATTGTTTATTCTCACGCTATAAAACGAGGTGAAAATGTTTTTATAATTGAAGACGAGCCACCAGTGTGAAATTATTTGATATGTTTTTGCTCTTGTGTTATAGCGTATATTTTGTATTCATTTTCGTATTCATTTTAAATTCGTATTCATTCATTTTATATATAGAGCTGACATTTAAAACACATTTTCACAATTATCGGTTGAAGTTTTGAAGATACTGTTCACCCCATACTATTTTCATGAGGTCGGCGGGTGTGATTAATTCGTAGGTTTGTATGCCTCGCCCTGCTTATATCCCGACCTACCATTGGATGGTGAAATCTTGAGTAAAAGAGCTTCGAAATCGTTTGGCCACATCCTAGTCAAAGTTTCAAAACATCCCTGCCCTCAAATTTTAGCTGACAACACAACCAATACAACAAGCTAAAATCCTCATTGGCATAAATCATACCTTCCATTATTATAGGCTGTATCCACTAATTACGGGAAAAAGTATTTGGTCCCAACATTAACATTATCTTTCAATTCCAAGTCCAAGCAGTTGTTAGCCTCAATAAATAAATGCCAGATAGTCAAGCAGCCTCAGAGCTTGTACATTATCAGGTAGAAGATGGTTCTGCATTACAAAAATAAGGTATGCAAATCCAACTCAAGGTCAAGGAATTATCTACATAAGTACCTAGTATTTGGTTCCAAAATCAAGTCCTCAGAGCACATGATGAACGACATCTTTCAAGGCGACGTCCATGCAATTACCTTGAAGTACTTGGAAGAGAATGCAAACATAAAATCATAGCAAAACGAAAAAAAGTCAGATGATAGTTAGGTACAAGATAGGTGTTTAATTTCTGCAAAGAAGAAGAGAAACATCAACCTACTGTCAAACTTCTCTCGCAGGACAACACAACCAATATAACAAGCTAAATAATCCAATCCCTTCACCTATGCGTACCTACTATTGGATTAGGTATGCAAAATAGGTTCATCTCTACAAGAATTCCAGGATTAGAGGAGAAAAAACCAGCGATTGTTCCTGCAAGAAAAGCAGCCGCATCACTGATAGGAAGGAAAAAGTTAGGAATCACATACTGGACATAGACAATCCAAGAATCACCTTGCGAAATTTGAATGAAAGAATTACAGAATCCACTAGAAGTATCCGCGTTGCCATATGAGGCCACTAAAACTATAATACATCTGAGAAAGAACGGAATCAACCAAACACTGTTTAGATTCTACATAGAAGCAAATATGTCCCAAAATACATCGTAGTGCGTACCACTTGTACTTCTCTGTATAAAAGGTTATTTAAGGACAACCCAACCACTTCAGCCTAGAGGAGCAGTAGAATTCCTCACTAAATTAGGTCTCACAGAGGACCGGGTCCCAGGAGTAGAAGAGAACGAAAACCACCTTGCGAGTTTTGTAATGAAAGAAGTTATACAATTTATCAGAGGAAGCAGAATATTAACAAGTTTTTTGACGGGTCTGTGCAGATCAGCTGGGCATCTGAGCAACATCGGTATCAACCAACAGGGGGTGTTGATTTTGTAAAGAAGCCGAAGAAACCCCAATATTTCTGTCAATCTTTGGTGCTACCGTTCTGCAGGAACAGCTGTTTTGGGACAATACAATCCTGTGAAATGTAAAACAATTGCAGCAGGGTAAAATAATCAATTTCTTTATAAGAACAGGCTATTAGTTAAAGAGAATAATTCCATAAAATCAAAGCCAATCATCACGGCTTCGACATTGTTTCCGTCTTCCAATCAGCAGCATATGCTATTTAGCTAGTAGGACAACAGGCTTAAGTCTCGACGAGTCTCATCACCAAAGGAGTAGCCGTCACAACTACAGGGTCCTCTCAACTGCACGCGACATCAACACAGGCTTTACACCATCGTCCGGTTCGTGGAAACCTGCCACGGGCTCTCACGCCTGCCCGAGAGTCCACGGGTTTCAACAGGGTCTCTGCACAGCCCTTCTACTGCTACACAGCGTTTCCCGCAGGGCAGCGTATTCGCTCCACGAACACAGTTAATTCGGGTAACACTGTTTACCCTCTCACCCCTAACAGTTTCACCTTCGCAAATGACACAACAAATCACATCGAAACATGTTGTCGCATCCAACCAAGGTTCGTGAACTATTTATACCCCAGACTTTACCTCGACCAACAACTTAGAATTCTCAAACTTAACCGAGTGCACCGAAAGACTATACAAGGGCAAACAACAAATATAGAACATTGCCTTGGTATGCTATGGTACTGCCAAGCTTTTCAATCTTAACAGACTCCATATATTAGTTGTCTCTATGTCTCCAGGTAAGCAATCCTTTCCAACCTATCCTGTACAAATCCATTAATCCATCTTCTTCGTCGTAGACTGAATTATGATGGCAACAGGACAACTTCATTCCGTTCATGCGTTATAAGTCATTTTGTGCGTGCTTCCTATTACTGCTCTCCATTATCATTTAATGTGCAGCTGTACAATAATTAAAATTCTTTAAAATAATTAAAAGGTAAACCGAGATCCGACACAATAAACCCGCTCATGGAGTTTAAGTGGAAAAGTTCGACGGGCGATTGTTGCAGGTCGGTCAAATTATCGTCAGGAAGAGGGATTAAAGTCTACATAGGGCGAACAAGTTTTCACGGAAGTTTGAAAAGTTGCCAACCGTGTGGACGTATTCGGGTCAGACGTCCTTTCTGGATGAGACACGGCCCAAGATCGTATTATTACAGAAAACCATCGGCCGATTTATATAGACTATAAATCCACTCGGCGAAAATTGATTTGACCAATTGCGATATGAAAGGAGTACCACTCATGGAACTGGAGTCGGTATAGCATTATCGATCGATAACTGCCATTTTGTAGTATAAGTTGTTTACACTTGTACTGTAATGCCGGCCTATTACAACACCATCTGTAAAATAACTACACGGAGTTAAAGCTCAGTTCACGTTTCATTAAAAGTCTTCATCTAACGCACAAAATTTGATGTAGGAACCTCGTAGGAAGTGAGTTTACAAGCGAGGACAAGTTCCAGGAAGACTTCGTTTATTCTGATTCGTAAGCGCCTGAAGAACTTCGAACTGAAGAATGTGAGTTCAATAATAAAAATCCCGACAAGGTGAGGTCGACGTTTCCATCGCTCTTCCTTACGTGCAATCAATCCACGTGCCCTTGCAAAACCTTGAAGCAACCTTGAAAAGAGCGACAAATCAAAATAGTAACAAAAAAACGGGAACAACCGGTTTTTGAACAGTGGCCACACGTATGTAAAACATCCTAACAGTTCAAAAATACAATAATACCGAAGAAAACGGAATGCATATATCTTCGTTGAGATTTTTCGGAACAGGCAGAAATCAAAGTTATCCCAATTGAATATTACTTTTCAACATTTGGTCTTTATTCAGTACTCGGTTTGTTTTGATGCCTCACCCTGCTTATACCCACCTGTACAACTCGTAGTTAGATCGTATACAAGAAAAGTCGAACTAACCATGGGCAACCTTGAACTTTGAAGATAATAGATAATAACTTTTCCGAAATTATGGCAAAATACATCACTCATCTATGAAGATACGTTCATAAAATACTCGCCATATCAACAACTTTGAGCACGTAGTTATTAACTTCTTTCAATTTAATATAAATATAGAGCTGACATTTAAAACACGTTCAGAGACAGATGAAAAACAGTACTACTGACCAATGAGAAGTTCAAACAATAAAAAACATAGCATACAACAGCTACAACATAATTACGATTAGCTGGTGAACAAAAGACATAAACTCGAGGTCAACTTGATCACGCCATGAAGAAACGTACGAACTATCCAAAAACCAAACTGCACTAAGGAAAACAAACAACCTATGGTACAAAACATAAACATGACACCAAACTACATTCAACATCACTGTGACGATCTCACAGCAAAACGGCGAAGAGCGGAGGAGGAGATAGAAACTAAAAGTTCCACGTCCCGCTGAACTTACGATGACACTTCATAGCAAAACATCGAGTATAAGCAGATCAAAAATGGCCGGAAATCACTAACATACAAGTAAGCTTAAAATTGTAGTTTGTCAGAAAAAACAGCGAGAATAGGCGAATGAGAAGGAACGACCAAAACAGGTACACGTTAACGAGAAGAAATCGCACAACAACGGGAATTGGTGGACGATGATCGAAAACGATGAAGGGACAAACAAAAGCAAGCTTGTATTGTAGTAGCAATTATAATTTGGTGTCTCAGGTAAAACCGG